ATTGCTGCTACTGCCGCTGCCTCTGCTGCCGCTGATAATACTGAGTTAATGCTATGCCATTTGTAGATTGCGTCTCTTCCCTCAGGGCTACCGAGACGGTGGCCTTGTTCATCGACACCAGGTGCTGCCACGGCCACTTAGTGGTGGTACCGGCCAGCGGGAACGGCTAGCAGGTGCTGGTGCCAAAAAAGACGCTCAGCAGTTGGAGCATTCCAGTGAAACGTAGCAAACCCAGTTGTTGTGCAGAACATCTCGGGAGGGAGATCGGCACTAGTCTACATGTACTCCGACTGCCACTGGTGAAAAGGTACAATTTCCGGAGTTCAACACGAAAAACCGATTTGTTTGGTGCTTGTTACATATGCATGCAACTAAAGCACAGCAGTGTTGACATCTGCGGGGGGGGCTATCGAGTGCTGATCCTCTAGATATAGGGAGAGGGAGAGAGAGACCGGGACAAATGTATATACATATGTCGAGAGAGAGAAACCGAGCTTCCTTCCTCCTCTGCCGGCAGATAGCTTCGAGCATTGTTGGAGCAACAAACTAGACTGGGACGATGGCAGCACAAAGACACCATCGATCGCGTTGTTGATATTGCTGTCTTCTGACGAGGACAGTGAGGTATTCTACGCCAGGAGTCAAAAACGCGAAACACGTGCCGGCAGCGAATCGATACAGAATGATCGAGGGAAGCTATAGAGTTTGACAGACCTTTCACCCGCCGCAGGACGAAGAGGCCTACAACGGGCGTATTGTTGACTTCCATGGTAGCTGTGCATAGCTTCCATGCCGCGCTTCCATGGGAGTAGGCATGACTTTCATGACAGCCGCTCAACTTCCATGGAAGCAGTGTGGAAGCAGTGTGTCGGATCGCGGCGCCAGCTTCCATGATGTTTCCATGGAAATTGATTATCAAATATACTACCATTGAAGCAGCGGGTGGTTGCTTCCGTGGAAATCGCATCCTCACCTTCCACGAAAGAACGAAGAGCTTCCATGGAAGTCATGACTTCCAGCCCGTCCAACACCTCCCCGAAATTGTGTGGTGCTTTCATGGAAGTACCGCAACCTCCATGAAAGAATGCACCGTCCATTGTTTTGTAAGGACTGGAAGGCACCATCCACGGAAGTGTTTTGTTAGGGATAGCATGCAACCTACATGGAAGCTTGAAACTTCCTGAAAGCAGTTTCGATGTTTGTCGCACATGTCAAAAACTCACATGGAGGTACGAGAGCTTCCATGGAGGAAGATTCTTCGGAAGGGTGAAAGACAACGTCCATGGAAGCATGCCATGGTCCACGGAATCAATTTCCATGGAAGGAAGTGGTTGCCAGAGTTGCCTGGCAATTGCCATGAGAAAGCACATCAACTTCCTGTCAACTTCCATGGAAGCAACCCCCATGGAAGAAGCGTCTTCCACGAAAAACTGTGCGGCGTACTACTGATAGATATACTTGTAGCAATGCCAAGTGGTTGTAGGATTGTGTGGTACGTGGAATGTATTTCCAGGATGTGCAAGGTACCCCTGTTGTATACTGCGTCGCCCCCTCATGGTGGTGCGTGCACGCGTGCGTTCAATGTGTTTTATGTAAGTTCATGTGAGTTCATGTGAAGAAGAAGTTTATGCAACAAACCCTACACGTCTTTCCTCCTTGGCGCGAGTTCGCCGAGTTGCCGACACCCTATTCAACACACGTCTTGCGACAAGCTACCCCCAGTTCGGATCATCCTAACACGCTAGCGTGCTGATATCATACGGGATCCCGAGGTGAGGCTAGCTATAAAAGGGTCGGCTAGAGAAGTAGATTATGGAGGAAGCCCTCGACCTCAGCAGCTATACTGAGGAGGATCGCCAAGCATTAGCGGCGCACATCAAAGAGGAGGTGGAGAAGAAAGTACAACAGAAGATGAAAGAACAAGAAGAAAAGCGTCCCGCTTCAGAGAGCGTGGACATGCCCCCCGATGGAGGCGATCCCCGGCATGCTCGGCCGGCTGGAACAGCGTTGAACCCGCAACCTGAAGACCAGCCACGATCGTTGGAAGACCGTCTCGTTGATTCGTTCGCACGGGCAATGCGAAGGACCAACACCCCGGGGGAGGAAACCAGGGAAGTCGTAACCCCTAAGGACACCATCCGTGTCAGTCCTGTAATACATGTAGCCCCATTTACGGGTGTGTTAGATTCCAGTGGCGATGTTCAAGTTAGAGTACAGGTGTTTGAGAGCCAATTTCGAATGCTGTTGCAACAAGAAGATTGCCTGAATGCAATAGTATCAGAAGAGACAATCAGGGTGGGGAAGTCGGATGCAGACATTCCCAAACTGAAGGAGGAGTATGGTAGGAAGGCCGTAGAGAAGGCCATGAAGGCCTGGCAGTTAATACTGGCAAAGATTCAAGTTGCATCGATCGTACCAGCAATCATCTCTAGTGGTTGCCCAACGGAGTCATGGCGAATATTTCGAAATCATTTTCAAGTGCATGCCCACACAGAAAAGACGAGCCTCCAGCTAGAGTGGCAGGAGTTGACGCAAGGGGTTCAACAACACCCGAAAGAGTACCTGTCGAGAGGGTGGGTGCTGAGGCAAAGGCTATCATCTTGCGGAGTGACAATTACAGAGGATGATGCTAACAGACATCTTGTGCGCAACCTCCTCCCCGAATATGATGTCTACACAGGTTTTCTGATGTCCGAGAGCGGTCTAGAGAAGGAGAGAGTAGAACGGATTATAGTGAATGCTTGGGCGGAGATGGAGGCGCGAAGGAAGAAGAAGCAGGAGAGCGTGGGGGCTTATGCCCTCGTCACTGGCGGTGAGAACCGTAGTGGCGGGGGAGGGAACACGGGGGGACCGGGGAAGACGAGAGGACAACGGAGGACGGCAGCGCGGGAACAGAAGCAACAACCGCAGCAGCCACAGCATCATCATCAGCCGTACTTCAACCAGCAGCAACAGGTATACCTGCCGTCGTACCCGCCTGAAATAAAATATTGCGACCTCCACAACTCCTCGTCCCACAGCAACGAGGAATGTCGCTTGCAGCGGGGTTGGGGAGGTCCCTCGGGCGGCCAAGGTGCGAGCTACGGCGGAAGGCACGGGCCCCAGCATGGGGGCCGGGGCTTTTCTGGAGGAGGACGTCATCAGCAGCAGCCGGCAGGAGGAAGATTCGGGGGACGTGGCGCCGCTTCCGGTGGGAGGGGCAGGGGCCCTTTTCACCAGGGATCGCCCGGCAGCAACCTCCCCGCCTACCCTGTACCTCAGCAAGGCTACGACTACAGCACCTACCCCCCCAACATGTACCGCCCACAGGGAAATGAACCTCCCATCCACCCGAATGACCCTCGCAAGCGGTGTGAGAACTGCGGTGAACTCGGCCACAACCACCTGTTCTGCCCTTCGCGTGTTGATGTCGGAAGGCCAGCTGGCATGCCGGCAGGCAACGCGCCGCCCAGGCACCCGCCGCCCCGGCCGCCGGCCGGTGGTTACAGCCAGCGGCCGCCTTGGGCACACTCGTATGGGCAGGCAAATACGGCGCAGCAATACGGCGGAGAGGGTTACCCGGGGGTAGCGCCAGGAGCAGCAGGAGCGACGGCGGTGGCGACGACAGCTCCATCTACAGGGGCGCATGCGGTGACGCACGTGAGCGGCGTTTACCAAAATCCGGTGACGCACGCGAGCGGCGTTTACCATTACTCGCCCCAACAGCAGCAGCCGGAGTACCTTCCCCCCCCCGTGCAACAGCAGCAGCCCATCTCCAACCCGTACGCTCCTCCGGCGCCTTCGACCGGAGCGTCTCCATCGACTGGTGGGGATTTACATGCGTGTGTGGTGTGGGCTTTTCCAAGTGAGTCTGAGAATGGTGTGCTAGTAGAGCGAAGGGACGACGGATATGCAATGATGAACGTCCTTGATGAGAGTGTAGGAGACGAAACTTGGCTTGCAGACTCAGGCGCCACGAATCACACCACCGGTGACCCGAGGTGCATGTACGATGTGATGATTCCTCCGCCTGGTAGAGAGCGAGTAGTGATTGGCGATGGTAGGACGATGCCTGTGCTTGGTATCGGCAGCCTGAACGTCAAGTTCCACAATGGTGGAAACGATTTTTGCGTGAAGCTCACCAACGTGTATCACGTTGAGGGAATGGGTTACAATTTGTTTTCGCTTCACAAGGCCATGGGAGGGCAACGCATTGAAATGGATCCTATAGGTATCCACCTGTTTGACGGTGGATTAACTTTTCCCCGTGGCGAGCGTGGTTCTTCCTTGAGAGCGACTCGTTTACCGCCCGATTACACGACGCCACTTGCTGCGCCCGTGGTGACACCGTTACCTCCGCCTCCCCCTCGCTCTGCAGACGTTGTGAGTGTGACTGGTGTTGCAACGATGCATGCAATCCCCCGCATGCAGCATTCTCCCCAAGGTGTAGCGTACATGCCCTCTTCCTCGTTTTCTCGTTTCCCGCCCACTGTCGCCAGCGCCGGCAGTGTAGTACCTCCAACGGTGTCTAGGTTCCCGCCCACTGTCAGCAGTGTCGTGCTTCCATCCGCTCCGACGAGCGTTGTGCCGACCCCCGTCTCTGGTTTCCCGCCCGCTCCCAACAGCGTAGTACATTCTGGTGACACCGCCCACAGATATGCCCCCGTGTCGAATTTTCCGCCCGCTGCAGCCGGCATAGTACCTTCCACGGTGTATGGTTTCCCGCCCGCTGCAAACAGCGTAGTGCCATCGTCTGTGATCAATATCCCGCCCGCTGCGAGCAGCGTCGTTCTTTCGACAGTGTATGCCCCCTCCCCCGCTGACAGGAGTGTGGTTTTTCCCTCCGCTCCTCAAGTGCCCCATGGTATGGAGTTGGTAGCTGTTCCCGGGTTGCCATCGCCGGACGTCACCGTTTTTCAAGAGAATAGTGAGGATGATGACCGTGGGTTTATTCCGTTCACAGAGCAGGGAGATTACGAGTGGGCTTTGTACCTCTTAGAACAGAGACAAGAATCGGATGACCCCTACGAGTTTTTAGACTTGATGTTTGAGTCTGGATTTGCCAATGTCTTCGATGATGTTGCTTTCGCCGTTCCCGTTATGGCCCCGGGCAAGCGCCCTTTTTCGGTGGGGAAACCCACCAAGATTATTGACGTTAACCTTCTCCATGTTTCGTCCTCCCACGCCAATGAGTTTCTTTTGCGTGAGCTTGCGAAGCAGCACGGTCTCCGACTGACCGGTGTCCTGCAGCCTTGTGGTGGATGCCTGCAGGCGAAGGGGAAGAAGGCGGGCGTGCCTCACCAATCGGGCACGCGCGCGGAGCGGCCGCACGATCTTTGGCACATCGATCTGTGTGGGCCGATGACGGCCTCGCTGGGGGGTTCGTTTTTCATGATTATGTTCGTGGACAGCTTCTCGCGGTGGATGAAGCTGTACGGGATGAGGCGCAAGTCGGACACCCTCGCCTTCGTCAAGAAGTTCATCGCCGACATGAGTGGCACCGGTGTCCCTCGTTCTTTCCGGATGGACAACGGGGGGGAGTTCATCGGACGCGACTTCATCGCCTTCTGTGACAACGCCGGCATCCGCCGTACGTACACGGCGCCGGGCACCCCGCAGCAGAATGGTCCGGCGGAGAGTGCGATCTGGCGCGTGAACAAGGCCGGCCACGCCGCTCGTCTCGAGGCACCCCGCCTGTTCCCCAAGATCGACTTCACCCGCGTCCCCGGCTTCGGGCGCGATGGCGAGCGACTCTGGCTAGAATCGTGTCACTGGGCTGCCGGCGGCTTCAACCGTTCTCCGACCAAGGCAAACGTCGGGTACAAGTCGCCGCACGAGCTCTTCACCGGTCGCCCGCCACCGCTCCAGATCGTCCCGTTCTTGCAGCCGGGGTATATGCGTGTGACGCGCGCGAGGAAGATGGATCCCCAGGCAGTGCTGTGCTGCTACCTCAACAACGGCGACAACCATCACGAGTCGGCGGTCAAGGTCCTCAAGTTCGCGACGGGGCGCGTGTGCATGACGAACAACGTCGTGTGGGTCTCCGACCGCGCGCCGTTGCTGACCCCGCCGCTGGAGCTGCCGGCGCCGGCGGACGAGGGGGGAGATTCGAATGTCGCCGCCGCACCGTTTCTAATTGAGTATATTTCACCGCCTCTCTTACCCCCCTCACCGTATGCCCGACCTCCCACTTCACCCGCTGCCATACTCTCACAGGCGCCGCCGGCAACTTCCACACCACCATCGCCGGCGGCGCCGTCTACCGCAGCCACACCACCGCCACCGGCCACCGCGCCGCCTGCAACGCCGCTCGCCGCCGCGCCACCGTTCACCACCACCGCGCCGCCTGCAACGCCGCTCGCCGCCGCGCCACCGTTCACCACCACCGCGCCGCCTGCAACGCCGCTCGCCGCCGCGCCACCGTTCACCACCACCGCGCCGCCTGCAACGCCGCTCGCCGCCGCGCCACCGTTCACCACCACCGCGCCGCCTGCAACGCCGCTCGCCGCCGCGCCACCGTTCACCACCACCGCGCCGCCTGCAACGCCGCTCGCCGCCGCGCCACCGTTCACCACCACCGCGCCGCCTGCAACGCCGCTCGCCGCCGCGCCACCGTTCACCACCACCGCGCCGCCTGCAACGCCGCTCGCCGCCGCGCCACCGTTCACCACCACCGCGCCGCCTGCAACGCCGCTCGCCGCCGCGCCACCGTTCACCACCACCGCGCCGCCTGCAACGCCGCTCGCCGCCGCGCCACCGTTCACCACCACCGCGCCGCCTGCAACGCCGCTCGCCGCCGCGCCACCGTTCACCACCACCGCGCCGCCTGCAACGCCGCTCGCCGCCGCGCCACCGTTCACCACCACCGCGCCGCCTGCAACGCCGCTCGCCGCCGCGCCACCGTTCACCACCACCGCGCCGCCTGCAACGCCGCTCGCCGCCGCGCCACCGTTCACCACCACCGCGCCGCCTGCAACGCCGCTCGCCGCCGCGCCACCGTTCACCACCACCGCGCCGCCTGCAACGCCGCTCGCCGCCGCGCCACCGTTCACCACCACCGCGCCGCCTGCAACGCCGCTCGCCGCCGCGCCACCGTTCACCACCACCGCGCCGCCTGCAACGCCGCTCGCCGCCGCGCCACCGTTCACCACCACCGCGCCGCCTGCAACGCCGCTCGCCGCCGCGCCACCGTTCACCACCACCGCGCCGCCTGCAACGCCGCTCGCCGCCGCGCCACCGTTCACCACCACCGCGCCGCCTGCAACGCCGCTCGCCGCCGCGCCACCGTTCACCACCACCGCGCCGCCTGCAACGCCGCTCGCCGCCGCGCCACCGTTCACCACCACCGCGCCGCCTGCAACGCCGCTCGCCGCCGCGCCACCGTTCACCACCACCGCGCCGCCTGCAACGCCGCTCGCCGCCGCGCCACCGTTCACCACCACCGCGCCGCCTGCAACGCCGCTCGCCGCCGCGCCACCGTTCACCACCACCGCGCCGCCTGCAACGCCGCTCGCCGCCGCGCCACCGTTCACCACCACCGCGCCGCCTGCAACGCCGCTCGCCGCCGCGCCACCGTTCACCACCACCGCGCCGCCTGCAACGCCGCTCGCCGCCGCGCCACCGTTCACCACCACCGCGCCGCCTGCAACGCCGCTCGCCGCCGCGCCACCGTTCACCACCACCGCGCCGCCTGCAACGCCGCTCGCCGCCGCGCCACCGTTCACCACCACCGCGCCGCCTGCAACGCCGCTCGCCGCCGCGCCACCGTTCACCACCACCGCGCCGCCTGCAACGCCGCTCGCCGCCGCGCCACCGTTCACCACCACCGCGCCGCCTGCAACGCCGCTCGCCGCCGCGCCACCGTTCACCACCACCGCGCCGCCTGCAACGCCGCTCGCCGCCGCGCCACCGTTCACCACCACCGCGCCGCCTGCAACGCCGCTCGCCGCCGCGCCACCGTTCACCACCACCGCGCCGCCTGCAACGCCGCTCGCCGCCGCGCCACCGTTCACCACCACCGCGCCGCCTGCAACGCCGCTCGCCGCCGCGCCACCGTTCACCACCACCGCGCCGCCTGCAACGCCGCTCGCCGCCGCGCCACCGTTCACCACCACCGCGCCGCCTGCAACGCCGCTCGCCGCCGCGCCACCGTTCACCACCACCGCGCCGCCTGCAACGCCGCTCGCCGCCGCGCCACCGTTCACCACCACCGCGCCGCCTGCAACGCCGCTCGCCGCCGCGCCACCGTTCACCACCACCGCGCCGCCTGCAACGCCGCTCGCCGCCGCGCCACCGTTCACCACCACCGCGCCGCCTGCAACGCCGCTCGCCGCCGCGCCACCGTTCACCACCACCGCGCCGCCTGCAACGCCGCTCGCCGCCGCGCCACCGTTCACCACCACCGCGCCGCCTGCAACGCCGCTCGCCGCCGCGCCACCGTTCACCACCACCGCGCCGCCTGCAACGCCGCTCGCCGCCGCGCCACCGTTCACCACCACCGCGCCGCCTGCAACGCCGCTCGCCGCCGCGCCACCGTTCACCACCACCGCGCCGCCTGCAACGCCGCTCGCCGCCGCGCCACCGTTCACCACCACCGCGCCGCCTGCAACGCCGCTCGCCGCCGCGCCACCGTTCACCACCACCGCGCCGCCTGCAACGCCGCTCGCCGCCGCGCCACCGTTCACCACCACCGCGCCGCCTGCAACGCCGCTCGCCGCCGCGCCACCGTTCACCACCACCGCGCCGCCTGCAACGCCGCTCGCCGCCGCGCCACCGTTCACCACCACCGCGCCGCCTGCAACGCCGCTCGCCGCCGCGCCACCGTTCACCACCACCGCGCCGCCTGCAACGCCGCTCGCCGCCGCGCCACCGTTCACCACCACCGCGCCGCCTGCAACGCCGCTCGCCGCCGCGCCACCGTTCACCACCACCGCGCCGCCTGCAACGCCGCTCGCCGCCGCGCCACCGTTCACCACCACCGCGCCGCCTGCAACGCCGCTCGCCGCCGCGCCACCGTTCACCACCACCGCGCCGCCTGCAACGCCGCTCGCCGCCGCGCCACCGTTCACCACCACCGCGCCGCCTGCAACGCCGCTCGCCGCCGCGCCACCGTTCACCACCACCGCGCCGCCTGCAACGCCGCTCGCCGCCGCGCCACCGTTCACCACCACCGCGCCGCCTGCAACGCCGCTCGCCGCCGCGCCACCGTTCACCACCACCGCGCCGCCTGCAACGCCGCTCGCCGCCGCGCCACCGTTCACCACCACCGCGCCGCCTGCAACGCCGCTCGCCGCCGCGCCACCGTTCACCACCACCGCGCCGCCTGCAACGCCGCTCGCCGCCGCGCCACCGTTCACCACCACCGCGCCGCCTGCAACGCCGCTCGCCGCCGCGCCACCGTTCACCACCACCGCGCCGCCTGCAACGCCGCTCGCCGCCGCGCCACCGTTCACCACCACCGCGCCGCCTGCAACGCCGCTCGCCGCCGCGCCACTGTTCACCACCACCGCGCCGCCTGCACCGCCGTTCGCCGCCGCGACACCGTTCACCACTGCCGCCTCGCCTCCGGCCTCACCGTTCACCACCGCCGCTGCACCGTCAGTAATACCGTCTCCCGCCGCCGTGCCGCCCGGTGCCGCGCCTTCCACCAACATGCCGCCGCTCACTACGAGGACCATCCGTGAACTGGACGTGGGGCGCGGCGACATGAGGGTTTCTGGGCGCACGAGGGCAGCCGCTAAGGACCAGGGGGGGGGGCGTGCGTCGTCAATGCCGCCCCTCTCTGCCAGGGCCAATCGAGAGCTGGACTTGGGACGAGAGACGCGGGTGCCAGGGAGGTTGAGGGGTCGGCGGGTGCGTTTCCAGGATGGGGGGGCCGAGCGGTCGACGTCACCTGGCGGGAGCGGCGACGCTCTCGCCCACCGCTTCGGTCTTGTTTCCCTGCAGGACAAGGCAACGCTCCTGTCGACTCTAACCACTCGCAGCATCGTCGATGGGGGGAGGAAGGAGATCCCGAGTTCAGCCGGAGGACGTGATGGAGCGGAGCCGGGGGGGCGAGAGCGGGAGGGCACGAAAACAGAAGGACTGCGTGAAGAAGTCCCATTTGCGTGCGCCACCTTGCTTGCCTCCCGCGAGGACATTGATCGCGCGATGAGGGATTTAGATCCCCCGGAAGTGGCACCGGACTTGCCACAGTGCTATGCGAGCGACTTGCGCGTACCCAAAACGTATAGGGAGGCTGTGTCCTCTCAACATGCTGACTTGTGGATACACTCTGTAGAGAAGGAGTTCAGAGGCCTGATGGAGGCTGGTACCTTTGAGGAAGTAATGTAGCAACCAGAAAGTGTTATCAAGGCGAAGTGGGTGTTTGATTGGAAATCTGATGAGTATGGATGGCCAACCAATGTGAAATCACGGCTAGTAGCGAGAGGAGATATGCAGCGAGTACATGTAGATTGTGGAGAGACGTATGCACCGACTGTAGCGGTTTCTAGCGTTCGCTTGTTGGCAGCGATGGCGTGTGAGCAAAATCTTTCTCTCCGTCATTTTGACATCAAGCAGGCATTTGTCCAGTCGGATTTGGATGAGGATGTTTTTATGCGTCTGCCAGAGGGGTGTGGTAGATTATCAGGTATGATCGTGAAGTTGAACAAGAGTCTATATGGCCTTAAGCAGGCATCAAGGCAGTGGCACTCACACTTGGCGAGGTGTTTGATTTGTTTGGGTTTTATTCAGTGTATGGCGGATACGTGTGTGTTTCGGTTGATTGAGGAGGGAAGAGTGGTAGTGACTCTGGTGGTACATGTAGATGATATATTTTCGATAGGAGAGGAGGAGAGGTGTGACCAGTTTGGCAGGGACCTCAACACCATGGTACCTGTGAAGAATCTTGGGGATTTGAGATGGTACTCTGGATGTTTTTATGAGAGAGATTGGGATGCAGGAACTTTGAAGATCTCGCAGCAGACGTACGCTGAAGAGTTGGGGATGGAGTTTGGGGTAGAGTACGGGAAGGAAATTCCTCTTCCTGTAGGGTTGAAGCTTTCAGAGTTTGACCAGGATGAGGAAGTGGTATCATGGCCTTTTCGTGAGCTGATAGGATCATTGATGTGGCTGGCAACGCAAACGAGGCCAGATATCGCGAATGCAGTAAGAGCGGTGGCACGGTACTGTGCCTCTCCAAAAGAGATTCATTGGAGAGCAGGGCTTGGTATTTTGGGGTATGTGGTAAGGACTAGTGACTTGGGTATTACATTCAGGAGGGGTAGTGTAGCAGGATTAAGCATGGAGGTGTTCGTAGACGCAGACTATGCAAGTAAGGCTGCCGATAGGAGGTCTGTGTCAGGGGGATTGGTGATGTGTGGGGGGGGATGTATTTCTTGGTTTTCAAGGACCCAGAAGTGCGTTACGTTGAGCACGACAGAGGCGGAGTATGTCTCTCTTGCGGATGTGATGAAGGAAGTGTTGTTTCTGAGGCAGGTGTGGCGTTTCATGTTACCAGAAGCAGGCATGCCATGTATTCCGGTGTTCGAGGATAACCAAGGGGCTATTCAGTTGGCGCAAAACCCGATAAGCAACAGTAACTCGAAGCACATCGACGTAAGGCACCACTTTATCAGGGAACTGGTAGGCAGGAAGGAGATTTCGATTTTTCACGTGGAATCGGCGTATCAACATGCTGACTTTCTCACGAAAGCACTTCACGCGGGAGATTTTGAGTTTCATCGTAACTACGTGATGAGTATGGATTAATATCTTGGTGTTCGGGTTTATTTTGTGTGTGATCAAACAACTGGGGTGGCAACATTTTACATTTTTGCCTATGGTTTTTCTCAATGGATGATGTTCTAGGCTGGGGGGCAACAAGTTCACTGAAGTTCGAAGAAGTATAACTGGTATGATCGGGGATGGTTATTGATGTCTAGCCAATGAGGCTATTGTTCTAGAGTTGAGTGGAGTTTCTGATTTTATTTTCTTGTGTTTTGGAGTTATTGAGGATCGAAAAAGACATGGCATGGTCACAAGCAGGGGGGCTGATAGATATACTTGTAGCAATGCCAAGTGGTTGTAGGATTGTGTGGTACGTGGAATGTATTTCCAGGATGTGCAAGGTACCCCTGTTGTATACTGCGTCGCCCCCTCATGGTGGTGCGTGCACGCGTGCGTTCAGTTTATGTAAGTTCATGTGGGTTCATGTGAGTTCATGTGAAGAAGAAGTTTATGCAACAAACCCTACACGTCTTTCCTCCTTGGCGCGAGCTCGCCGAGTTGCCGACACCCTATTCAACACACGTCTTGCGACAAGCTACCCCCAGTTCGGATCATCCTAACAACTACACACATGCATCACAAGCGCACCAGCGGATATCACTATGCTCCAGAAACAGACCGCCGGCGGTTGCGTTGTTGACAAGATCCGAACCGACAAGCAGTGCCGGCGTCTTCCCCCACCGCGACCCTCTGAAAACAAGTGCCGGACCCCCTCGTGAATCAAACATGCAAAGGTGCTTGGTAGCACAACTGTTTCGGCACATGCAAACATCTCACCACGGACCGCGCCTCGTCGAGCATATCCGGGCGAGTCTGATTCGCCAGCCATATCGAGGTTCCCACAAACGACCGAAACGCTCGTCGATATCGGGCTCGTCGACATCAAGCTGTTCAAGCGCAAACCCAACCACGATAGGTGCCTCATTGTTTTTCACCAACCGTTACTTGGCAACGACGTTCTCTGACAAGGCACACTGCGAATTTGTCACTGTCCACAATACGTTGTCAAGAGAGAACAGGCGAAACAGACATCCCAACGTAGCTCCCCAAGGTTAGAGATGGGCACATATGTATCGGATAAGGTCAAAACCAACTTGGTCGCACCTGCTCTTTAGGCTGATAGACGAGATGTCGTCTACGTGGATCACAATGACACGCCATGCCATACACGAAGTGAGATGCCGCATACTGTTTTCAGACCGTCAAGACTACGTCTCAACCACACAATCCTACTGGAAAACACACCGCCACATGGGGGAAATCACTACCGCTGGGTACACCGCCCCTGCGGCCGCCCGTGCAGCCGACGATGCCGCCGCTCCAGCCGCTGGACCACCGGGTGACGGCCAAGGCGGCGAAGATGCCACAGCGTCCGACCCCCAGGGACGCACTCCTCCCATAATACCCTAGCTGCGGAAGTCTCGCGGGCAGTGCCTAGAGCACGTGGCCGCACCCGCTGGCGTGATGCTCATGTGGGTCGCAGGGGAATGGTCACTTTCTGAGTCGAGGTAATAGTACCGCTCCCCCTTGCTGTTTATGTTGCACGGACGGTGACGGTGGTGGCGGAAACCGGGTATGTGAAAGGTAGGACCAGCCGGATCTTCCTCTTGCCGCACAGCTTCACCTCCGGGCACCGCTTGTTCTACGTTCTCCCCCCCCCGCTGAAATGTTAATGGAGTCGTTCATCTATGCAAAAACCTAGGGCCAGATGGCCCGCACGTACAGCGCACGATTCGAAACGTAACGTCGGGGAAGAGTTTCGGGAGGGAACTCCAGCCACGCAGCCCCGGCTCCCTCCGCATTTCGGGCGATCCTCCTCTGCACGAAACCGTTACTCTTGGGCTCGTCGACCGCTTTGAGTCCCCGCGCAATGTTCAAATCTGCCGTCATCCTTCGAAATATCCCGGTTCCCGACCCGGTGCCATTGTCGGTCGAAACACACTCCATCACCCCATTGGTAGCCATGAGTGGTGTACCATGCACGCAACGCGCGGACAACGGCCGCACTGCTCTCGTCGCGTGAGACCGAAGCTCACCCATACGTGGCGTTTTTATCCAGGATCCGAATCAGGTACTGCGCACCGCCGGTGGGTGGCCCGTGCGACCTCGCCAGATCCATGGAGACACGCTGAAAAAGCCGCGTCGTCTTTCGGGAAAAGACAAGGACCTTGGGGGCGGCGCGTTTGATCGCCTTCGCTCCGCGCATCCATTGCAATACTTCTGAGTGCCAGCCGAGGAGATGCCCACCTGCTTGGCGATCGCGTAGAGAGTGTTGACATGGCATGGCCGACGGAGCAATGAAAATTGGTAATGCTCATGCTGGGCTGCAAGTCGGGCCACATCATCTCCCCGACCATCTCAGGGGTTTGGGCTGCTGTGGATCGCCGTGGCCTTCCTCGATGTAGTTGCCCTGATCGATTTTCGTGAAATGTCCCTAACTCACCATCATCTTGGTCCCACACTTGTTCAACAGGCTGTCGTTCTCTTCGTGAACAACAGGATCTCGAACGCCAAACCCCGGGACAGCAGCAACATCCGTGATGGGCACGCGGAAATTGTCAGCATAATGGATACCTCCTCCAGGTCGCCGATGTATTCCGCCGGAAAGCACTTGCCATCGCGCTAAGTATGAGCTGATGGGGCCCGCCCAATCCACCTCGAGATCGCCGATTTTGCACTTCGTCAACTTCCGTTTGTGGGCCCTTTCAACGCCTTCTTCGGTATGTTCTCCTTTTTTCGTGTGCAGGCCGTGGGTGACCTTCCAACATCAAAGCGGAAGAAGCGGCGCACCGGGTCATGTCGAGGACGGACTAGGGGAAGCAGCAGCAAGGAAGTATGCTTCCAAAAGACCTCCGTAAGGGGGCGAGTGTTGTGCGAAAGATGGCCGTATGATGGCCGGGGGACGGGAGGTAGAGACGCGTGTGGTGAATTTGAGGCCTACACTTGCCGCCCAGAGAGCAAGGAGCATGGTCAAAAAACACGAAATCATTCGTCTGCCCAGGCTATCTTGTGTAAGCCTACGTTGCGGGGAGGTATAGATGGTTTTTTGCGATCCCTGACAATCGTTGATGAAACAACAGGCGGTCGCCCTTTTTCCTTGCAGGTGCCGCTATTCCTTGGAGGGTGATACTGTTTTATGCCCCAAGTCCCCGCTCTGTCTCCCAGAGAGAAGCGTCTTGCGTTGACTTCAAACATCGGCTGGGTGTGATCGTTGACTCTTTTACCGTGCAAGGAGCCAAAACCTCGAAAACTGTCACAGAGATCCATTCAGGGTTGTCGGCAGCCCCCGAGACAGGTGACCCCAGTACCGTTTTCTTTTTCCACCGGTATGGACGGGAAACAACCATCATTTCGCCCACAAACCAAAATAAGACAACGCACAGCAGCAGCCCACTGGTTCAGTTGGAAAAAACCGTCTAACCTTTGGGGCGTGGATTCGAAAGTTGGCGCAGTCCCATGAACTGGGAGTTTCTCCCGCTACATGCCCAATGCAATGCGTAGAAAGCAAATGTGGCGTACGCAATAAATTTCAGCTCCAGGGTCAACGAGGGGCAAAGCCACGACTGAATCCCTCTCGCAACAGAAGTTAAGGGCGAGCATCGGCGAAGGATAGGTGACAATACAAGCGAAGATCTTCTTTACAGCATGCCCCTGTCGGCTACAATCCAGACTAAACGGAACGACACACACACAAAATATACTTATTTCCGAAATCACGCAGGCACTGAGCCGAGGCGTCCTACGTCTGTACTCCCCCAACAACTCTGGCGCGCCCGGGCGAAACCACGGCACTTAGGATATTCACGACAAAACGTGAAGGCGAGACTTAGAGAGCGGTGGCCTGGGCGTTCTTCAGGACTGCCTCCACCGCCTTCACGACATGCAGGTATCGGTCACCAATGCCACATATATATACCCATATTTTAGAACCACACACGCAGGGTGCTCCGCGAGGAGGCCGACATGAAAAAAAAATGGAGAGGGAGGCTCCTCACAGCTATTATGCAAAGAAGCAACGACGAAAGTCAACGGTTGGGACCAATATTGACTCGGCAAACACCCAACTCTAAAAAGGTTACGCAATGGTTCATGACATTCTACTTGCACCAACATTGTACAGGCAAAAAACATTTCCACTGCCTCGCCGTGATGGTATTAGGGTTTTTCGTGCGAATTCGGCCGGTTGGATCCTGCACCGACGGCAAGGCCTGAACTGGGCCCTCAGTTGCCCCCCGTGTCCTCGTCATTCTGGGTGTCCCTTGAGGTCCTCTTCATCGCCATGTTGAATCTGGGTACTTATTGAGGCACACATAATAACATACGATGGAGAGGGTGTGCAGGGGGGGGG